GTGTGTGCGTGCGTGCGTGCGTGTGTGCTTGCGTGTGTGTGTGTATGTAATGTATGTGTGTGTGTGTGTGTGTGTGTGTGTGTGTGTGCGCATGCATGTGCATGTGCGTGTGTGTGTGTGTGTGTGTGTGTGTGTGTGTGCGTGTGCACGTGCCACTTGTTTAGACTGCGTACTTTTTTACCGAATGATATAGGTGATAATTGTTTTTTATTAACTCCTGGTGATATGTGTATGTGATCATTAATGTGATCTCTGTCTTTACTTCACTGTGGCTGGTAACGTTGTGTTTGATAGCCACGTTATCGTTCAGACCATGATTCAGCACCTTAATGCCTCAATCATTATTATGCATGTATAGTGCCTTTTTAATTGATAGAGCTAATAATACCTAGGTATTATTAGCTCTTGTTTATATGCATGTAGGCACACGCATAAAAATTCGCGTTACCTAATGTCTAATAAAATAACTACAACCTCTTTGTAACCCTTATCCATAAATTTCTCTTGCACCAGCTATTCGCAAACCATAAAATTGTTTAAAGCCGCACTATGCGCATCCAAACGCTAATTTCTCCAGTACTAGACTAGCAAATACTTCGTGTCATGCATAATCACACTACATTATGGCAAAATAAACTCTAGTTCTTCCCATTTCACTGCGCGTTTGCTTAAAACCCACAAGAAATAGGTGCGAAATCTGGTAATCTGGCGCCAACGCCGACTTGTTTGCCAAACAATTTAGCCTCGAAGCGGTTAGGTGACGTCACATGTTTTTATCTTTGCTACACCCGTACCGCTGTACCGCAGCACCGCTGCACGGTTGCTTGGGAGAGCAACGCGAAACTGTCAACAACATCGGAGAATTTGAACAACATTGGAGGTATTTTCAAATGCCTTTTATAAGACAACGCGCAGTGAAATGGGAGGAACTAGAGTTTATTTTGTCATAAGGTAGTATGATTCTGCATGACACGAAGTATTTGCTAGTCTAGTACTGGAGAAATTAGCGTGTAGATCGATGCGCATAGTGCGGCTTTAACGATTTTATGCACATCAGAAATGACCTCATGTATAGTTCGCTATAAGGCAGCCATTGTCGCGGTACAATTACGTAGCAATTTAAAATCCTGCTTTATCATATACCAACCCCAATGTTATCAGGAGTGTATAATATAGACTCTATACTATCTACACTATCTATAGATTCTATACTATCCATACTATCTATAAACAGGAGCTAATAATGATAAATTTGTCATTATTAGCGCCTGCTATAAAGTATATATAGGGTCTATATTATACACTCCTGATGTTATAACCCTGCTTGTTTTACCCTATTATTGGAGTAAATTATAATCTTGAATGAGACGCAATGTCAAAAAAGCGAGAAATTGCACGATATCGTGGTAATATAATGGAATTTCGATCTATCACATTACTTTTCACAACTGCAATGATTGTGTGGCAACAAGACTACGTGAACGTCAGAACTATATCACAGTCTGATCGTATAGAGAGCGGCCCATGCGACGTGATGATGACGACGACGACGACGACGATGATGATGATGATGATGGTGGTGGTGATGATGATGATAATGTTGATGATGATGATGATGATGATGACGATGATGATGATTATGATAATGACGATGGTGATGATGATGATGATGATGATGGTGATGATGATGATGATGATGATGATGGTGATGATGATGATGATGATGATGGTGATGATGATGATGATGATGATGATGATGATGACGACAATGTCCATAGAGTATTATGTTTGTTTTTCCGTAGCTGTTGCGCCGCGCTAACAGTGTCTCTGCGATGATCAGGACAGGTTCGATACGATTGTTATTTCTTGTTGCTGAGGTGTCCATCGAACCGGAATTGCCGCTCTTCTTTTCATACACTTGCAAGTTTACCTGCAGCATGAACAGCGTTAGATAATTAAATGTGAAATTAGGCGTTAATACTTAACAATTTTAGGCGTTAAATGAATAACAAAATGCAGTCAACTAGCCAGGCAACATTTTTCTAATCTATGGATAGTCATGTGTACATTAACTGAATAAATACTACTTGTATTCTGTTATCGGGAAACTTATCAGCAATCGCTTATTCACGCGCCAATGCCCATTTCCTCGACATATATAACCAGGAGCTAATAATAATACATGTATTATATAGCTCTTGATGTTACTCGATCTTGACCCTGTTTATCGGTCGTATCTAATCGAACGTAATCGTTTAGTCAATGTTTACATTTCTCGTAGGCAGCGCGTGGCGGCATTCCTGTCGGCTTCTGTGTATCGGAGAGGTGCGGGACGAGAAACATCATGATGCTACTTGCCACCGTCAGCGACGAGGCTAGATAGAACGCTGCTTGGAACGAACCTGTTTTCTCCACCATCCAGCCTAAAAAACATTATACTTACTGACATAAAAAATAGAATAAAATGTACTCACATCGAGTAGGTTCATTCGACTCGTTTTTGGTGAACCACCATTGGTCTAAAAACAATAAGCTAGTAACGCAACGATAAGCAAGTGAACGGAAACTACCGCATATGCTTAGGTGAACCAAATAGGTATTGGTGTTAGTGTAGAATAGTTTCATGTTTTATGTGCAAGTAAGCTATTAAACTGTCATGCCAATGTTTATCTTTGTATGTAATTACTATGCCGAACTTCTTATATTCCTTTATAGATGCGTTTCTATTCTTCAAACAGCATAGAAAACGTTCTACCGTGCAAGAGTTCCGGAATATGGGGGTTGTTTTCCGTACCCGCGTGTTAATTGTTATGCAAAAATGCGCTATAAAATTCATTTATGAAAAGTTCATAGCGCTAGTAATTCGTAATCATGATAAAGCCGTAACTATATCTAATTAGGACTTACGTAATAGAGATCTCTATTAGATATCTCTGTTATGTCATTCCTTATAATAACATATGATAACAGATAAATTCAATGTAATGCCGTATATACAATATACGTAACAACAACGGCAATAACAAAAAGAAGAACAATAAAAACAAAAATGCAACAACAACATGAAGCAACACGCGTAAAGCTGGGTTTACACTATCAACTTTCTGTTAAAAAGTTGACGAGCTGATAAACTTTTCAACTAATCGACCGAAAGTCGGCAGTGTAAAACGTAAACTTTGAGCGCTCAACATGTTGATAGCAACTAGTTGAGAGAGTAGAACATTTCTATCGTCTCAACTTTTGGTCAGCGAGTTGATCAATTTTTTTGCCACTCAGCCACTCTGATAATAGCGTTTTTGCTATCGGCGCCACACTGGCGCGAATCAACACGTGCAAAAATGCGTATATCCACGTTGCCCAGCGCGCACACTGCGGGTCATATATTATCAGGAGTGTATCAATACACTCCTGATATGACTGATATACTCCTGATTACAATCCTGATACACTCCTGATACACTCCTGATACACTCCAATTGATACACTCCTGATATTATGTTAAAACGTTTGCCGACTCACGGTCGATAACGTAAAACCTTTGAACATCTGATAGAAAGGTTAATAGACCGTTGAAAAACTTATCAACTCGTCGCCTTTTCCATAGTGAAGAAGCTACACAATGTTATTGCGAGTTTTTTTTTTAGCTATGATAGTTATAATTACAGTCTGTACGCTGTAAGTTTTTAATGCTGTCAATTTCGCGAAGTTCGCGTGAAGGAGAAAATAAAAATGAAGAACGCTCTGTTTTGGGCCTCGGCATTAATTTCTTATATAAAGTTGAACCATCCTGAATTCAAACGCAATCACCGCTGCTCCGGCTACACGATATAAAATGTCTCTCACTAAAGAACAAAATAATTCGCCTTGATTTCTAATGATTGCAGACACTTCAATCAGTCGTGCTCGCATGATGATGATGATAATGATGATGATGATGATGATGATGATGATGACGATGATAACGACGACGACGATGATGATAATTATGCTGCTGCTGCTGATGATGATGATGATGGTGATGATGATGATGATGATAAGAATAATTTATGTACATAGCATTTTAAGTAGACCGTGCTGTTAAAATAAACACCACCCACTATAGAACTCTTACCCGCTATCGGAGGACCTATCATGTTGCCGACTCCGTTTGAGATCATCAGATATCCAAAGGTGGATACAAGTGTCTCGACGCCGAACATGTCCGCAGTTATTATGGGCAGTATTCCGCACTGCATGCCCAGAAATAGTCCGAACAGCGTCGAAAAGGCGGCGTACCACTCGAAGCTGAGTCCGTCAATGACGTACAAACAGATGACGATGCCGTATAGGCACGTAGAGACGTTGTACAAGTACATGCGATTGCACAGCTTGTGCGTGCCCAGTAGTCCAGCTATGGGACGCCCGATGGTGTTCGTGATGGCTATGATAGACAACATTACGACCGCCTCCATCTTCGGGAAGTTCTGGTTCGTGCATAGGTAGTCGACGATGATGACGAAGACGATGATGAATCCGGCGTTCCACAGCAAGTTGTTACACCAGAGCACGAGGAAACGTACGTCCTTCAGCACAGCAACGTCCAAGTTGCACAGCTGCGAGAGCGTTTTCTTTGCTTCACCACCTCCCCTTCCTTCGTCTTCTTCGTCTTCTTCTCCCCCTCCTCCTCCTTCTGCTGTTGCTACTCCTCCGTTTCCTCTTGCTCTGCCGCCTGCGGCAACTTCGTAGAAGTCGGGCGGTCTCATTAGAGCGCCGGTGATGCACATCTGGAGACACAGTCCGGAGGTGGCCAGCATGGCTCCCTGCCAGCCGAGCTTCTCCATGATGATCTGTGAGAGCGGCGCGTAGAGGAGACAACCAGTGCCGACCCCGGCCTGCACCACAGACAAGGCGATCGAGCGCCATCTGGCGAAGTAGAGTCCAACCATGGCGACGCTGGGCGTGTAGGCGAGGCCGAACCCAAGGCCTGTAACAATATCACACATGTTATAGTTAGAGGCAAGTGCATACAGTCGTTGGCATTTTAGATTCGTGAAGCACCCGCACACGCACTCACACGGATGTACGCACGCACGCACGCAAATACATGCGTACTCACATAAACACCATAACAAACACACAAGCGTGCGCCCGCGCGAACGCACACACACACACACACACACACACACACACAACTTATTGTTTTTATTTAAGCAAAATAATGAATAGAATATTAATCTTTTAACAAATAAAAACATTCATTAATTAGACCTGTCGTTATGCTTTAATCTTTCACGTGTTTCGCGTGATATGCGAATGGCTTCCCACCAAAACAGCACCAACTATCAAGCACAAACTATGTTCAATATGTGTATGCTCGATGTCTATCAACTACGCATATCTCCATTCTACATAAAGAAAGCTTCCTGCAGGCCCGTAGTGCATGGCCGCCCCGGCAGCACGGCACTACCGTGGCACTATTTTGAAAAAAAAATTCTGCAGGGAACCAGGGAGCAACATATACCAAAAGATAAAACCCCGGGGGGGCACTCACCCCACATTATGGTAGGCATGTGCCACT